GTCACCCGTGGGGGAGCCCATTGCCGCAATTAATTGATTTACCGACAAATTAGAAATGGAGGCCTTAGGAATTTTACAATTAACTTTAATTTAAAATCCCTTCTCAAACTTAGTATAATTTAATGAGGATTTTTAACTATTTATACAATTCCAAATTAATCTATGTTAATGCAATAATTAATTAACATGCATATTAATTCATGCAATTCTAAATTAATCTATGTCAATGCAATAATTAATTAACATGTTCAATAATTTATGCAATTCTAAATTAATCCATGCCAGAACATAATTAATTACATGCATAATTTATTGACACAATTCTAAATTAATCCTATGCATCACATAATTAATTAACATGCATAATTAATCTTGCAATACTAAATTAATCCCATGCAAGAACATAATTAATTAACATGCATAAATAATAATTTAATGGCATAATAAATTTAATTAAATAAATAAATAAATCCACTATTATGGCCATTAAATATTGAGTCTCCTTAAACAAGGAAACTGTGACAGTTCTTTTCCCTGTTCAACTGGAACTCCTTTAAGCAGTAGAATCCTGGTTGATCTTGTACTGCTTGGACAAGAAGGCAAAACCTCTCCACCTCCTGCAGCCAACCGCCGACTGCCGCCCGGCCGCCGGCCGCCGCCGCCAGTGGTCGGAAAAACGCGCCGTTTCCCTTTTTTATTTTTTTTTTTTTTTTTTTAATTCTTCGAGGCTCGTTGATCTCTTGTGATCTCCCGGTTATCAACACACGATCACAACACGAAAAATATAATTTACAAAATTACATAATTCGATCCTAGATCCAACGAATGGATGTACATGTTTTCTAAACAAATAATTAAATCTATCCGGTCAACCCCCGGGCGAATAATTATTACAAACATTCATCCATAAATTCCTCGACATGCCCGAGGCTTTAAAAACAAATTTAAAACCATACATCACATTCAACAACATTCATCAAACACATAATCGGCCATAATAGTGGATTAACTATTTTCCTGCAAAACCGAGTTATGCAAATATAATCCAATATATGGCTGCGTTTGAACACATCTTGTCAAATAAAGCCGTAAAAATTCGAACTTTGTACAAAACGAATTAACCAAGTGCTCTGATACCACTTGTTGGGATCTGTGAGGATCTCGTTATGTACAAATCACGAATTCAATAGCAAACGTAAACCTATGCGCAGCGGATCTAAAGGTTTGACGTAGAGAACTTACGGCTTAAAATTTATGTAGATCTGGTTGACCACGAACGGTTGACCGCAATTGATTGACCGCAACACGCGTCTTGGGTTGCACGAACAAGATCAGATCAAAACTGGATCAAACGGATGCAAACAGATCAAAACGAAATTTTGCTGCCAGACACCTTCCGGCGGCGCGTGAGGGCGCGTGCGGCGTCGGATTCCGGCGACGTCGGCGGCGATGGAAAGCTCTCGTCGAGACGGTCGTCTGGGTATACTGTACGTCTCAATCGGACTTCCGGTTAGTTCTGTAGGTCAAAATCAATTTCGTCTCGGTTTACCTACAGATCTTCTACTGTATTACTCAATACACCCTTCTTCAACTTGTACCAGTGGAGCAACAAGAAGAAGATAAAGCTCGAATGAGATCTAGAGAGAGAGATGGTTTCACGTGAGAATGAGACTTCTATTCTCTTCTCATGAGCTTAATGATGTATATATAGAGCTACAGTAGGGACCCTAAGGAGATTAGGAAAAGGGCTCCTTAATTAATTAGACTAACTGTGGGCCAAACCCACTCCTCTAATTAATTAAATAATATTAATGGGCCACCAACATTATATTATTGCACTCCCTTTCCCTAGCCCAAATTACATTTGAGACTCCAATAATAATTACTCGATTTACCTCCCCACGTTTAAGATATAATGTCCATTAATTAATTCGATTACTGACAATCAAGAATTAATTAATTTATTATTATTTCACCGAAGCTAGCGCTCGTTCATCACATTCTTATTATGCCGGAATTTAATCCACCTGCAGGGTTTAGCATAACAATCCTTCATGAACTCACTCCGGGGACATCATCAAACTAACGCACATGGTGACCGTAAATATCCTAACAGCACATCCTATATATAATAATATTACCCAAAACAGTAGGAATATTAATCCAGCGAACTGAACCTCACCCATGTGAATCAAAGTAATATATATTATATATATCTGCCTGTTTAATATCTTACGGGTTAAGAGAACGCAGTAATTAACCGAGGCCTAGTTCATTTACGACGATCAGTATAAAATGAACTTCTCCTCTCTGGGATCCTGTTCAATACATAAATGTACTAGTGCAACTAATCAGTCAAGACAAACTGTACAGTTGACACTACAACCGTTCGGATGGGGTGTTCATGTCCATCTAGGTTGTGAACAACTATTCTTGTTCGCAAGTGACTGATAGAGTGATCTTCGGTTCGCCCGATGACGACCCACCCTATCTAAGTGCAGAACAACAGAACGTAGAACTTGTTTAATCTAACATGATTCTCATTCATAAAGGGTAAATGTGTAATAACATGCAAAACCAAGCTTTCAGTATATAACACTAACATAGTTGTTAGTGAGATTTTGAGTTTATATGAAAAATAATAATTAAAATAAAATAATAAAAGTTGATTTAATGTCAAAGTAGAAGAGAGGTGATATGAAATGATGGTTAATTAAAATTATGTAAATTAATGAGTAGTAAACTAAAGTTGATGTGATATATAAGAATGATTGATTAATTGTTTAATTATATTAATAATATTGAGATACTGAGGTTGGTTCGAAGGTGAGTTAGATTTATAGTATAGATTAAGTTTATTAATAAACAAATACACCATCATTCGCTTGTAATGAAAAATCTACTTTGTAATCATTTGATTGCTCGTTTTACTATTTCATTTTAGTTTTATATTATGTTCAATTGTCAAATGAAAAAAATAAAATAAAGTAAATAAATTTGTTTGTTCACCAATCGCCACTATATAAATTAATCATTTATCTTTAATGATAGAAGTTTTTATATTCCAAATAAAGATGCACCAATGATTTATGAGATAATAAAGAAATTAATCCTATTGGCAGAAACGCGGGGCAGGGCCTTTAGAGCATCTCCAACGGTGCTTCAATTGCAGAATTCTAGAGGCAGTGCTAGGAAAATTTTCTCCAACGGTGAATTATTTGCTTCTATTTTTTATAATGTGGCATGAGAGAGGTTTAAAAATTCTGGAACTCTTTCCACATCTTAAAGCTCTGTTAGACATGCTGAGTCACTATTTTTGCTCCTATTTATTTTTTTATCTTTAATTAAAAATTATAATTAAGTTGGAAAGAGACGTAACTGGAGGGGAAATTTTTTGCGGGAATTGTTGGGCGCGAACTAGAGGAATTTGGGAGAGAGAAAAAATTGATACAAAATTATATTATAAATTTAATGGTATACAAAAAAAATACCAATGAATGTAAAATACCTGATGAATATAAACGATGGAGATGTTCTTAACAAAAAATATGGATGAATGTAATACCTAATGAATATCAACGATGAGATGTTCTTACACAAAAAAAATACGGATGAATGTGTAGATGGGTGATAGCAAATTCAAAATGAAGGCATACTTTTTCTATATTCTCTCTCAAACTATGAATTAAATTGACGAAGGATGGCTCTGAAACTATGAATTAAATTGACGAAGAGTGCAATTTATATATATGTTGTTGAAAATATTTATGATTTCATGTTGTTGAGTTTGTTCGACGTAAGTTTTTTTGCCACTTTTTTATAACAGCAAAATGAAGAAGTCTGTGTATCCATTTTTTTTAGAACGGCAAAAGGAAGAAGTCTGTGTATAAAGTACGTGTACAGATATTTACTATGTAGAAACATTAACCATTGGAGAGTGATTTAGTCCATTTCATCCATCCACGTGGAGAGAAAACCTTCTATTTAATTGCCTTGTCGACTACAATTCACGCCCATCATTGGAGATGCTCTTAGACCATCTCCAATGTTGCCATTATTGGAGACAATGTATTCATATTTGTATCTTCAATAGACTCTGTCATGGTCTAATTTCTCGTAACATGGCTTGACTACTGTTAAGCATACCGTTTGAAGGCAAACAGTGTATTAGACAGTATGACTCACAAATAAACTTCCAAAATTTTTGGAATCGTGGAAAAAAAACGAGAAAGTTTCTCAGATTTTGTAGGAAAATCGAGAAGAATGTAATTACAAGTTTCATATTTTAAAAATTAAATTACTTTGTATTTAATTGATAGATAAAAATAACACTGAAATCGTGAAAAATATAATTACAATATTCATATTTTAAAAATTAAACTATTTTTTATCTACGTATTTTGCATGTAACTAATTTTTTCTTTCCAAAATTTGATTTATATTTTTACTATTTATTTAGTTTTGGGAGATGAAAGCTACTTTTTTTTCTTTTTTTTTTTAATTAAAAATTTGATTTATGTACTTTTATTGTTTATTTAGTTTTGAGGAGATTGAAAGCCACTTTATTTTTAATTAAACAATACGTAATTAAGTAATTAAAATCTCAAATCGGGAGAACGAATCTAGTTAATTTTTCATATGTTGCCTTATTATTTTTTTAAGAAAATAAATAAATATACATATACAAATGACGTGAAAGAAAGAATGTGGAGATAGTTCAATGTTATAATCTACGCTATCAAGATATTATAAACAATCACAATCCAATTAATTAGTGTCATGTAGCCTCAGCGTTTTAGAATTGACAGTGGTACACATTACTCTGAAGTCCACGTGTGATCTGACCCCATCACGGTTGTTTGAGCGAATTAAAACACAGCTTCTACAAGCCTATAAATTAGCCCACGCATATAACGAATCAGTCCTTTGTCCGCGAGCTGAAATTCTCTTTTATTTTTCTCTCTCCACACACACAAGGAGAAGCGGATAACACAACTATAATGAATAACAGTGAGGAGGATGTCTACGTTTGCCCTAGCTTCAGCAGCTATTCATCCCACCGATTAGCAGAAACCGCTAATAGGGTCGCCGAAGAGAAGAGTTCGAGCGCCGCTGACGAAGATTTTGAATTTGTTCTCATTCACGATGGTGAAGAGCTTTTGGTCGACGGCCAGATCCAGCAGGTTTTCCCTGTATTCAACCGCGATCTGCTGCAAGACGGCGGCGATTCGCCGGAATTCAGAGCCGATATCCCGCTGAGCAGGCTTTTCATTGAGGAGGACCGCGAGCGGGACCGCCCTCCGTCGTGCTCCTCGTCGGAAGCCGATGAGCTGGAGAATGTCCCGGCGGGGTCGTACTGCGTGTGGCGGCCGAGGACGGCGGAGGCGCCGATTCCCAGCCAGTGCAGGAAGAGCAAGTCGACCGGATCGGCGTCGATGCGGTGGAAGCTCCGAGATCTCCTCCGGCGGTGCAAGAGCGACGGCAAGGACAGTTTCGTCTTTCTCACTCCGAAGCGCGTTAAGGAGGAGAAGCCGCAGGTGAGATCGGGCGAGGGGAGAGAGCACAGCTTTTCGGCGTTTTACGGACAGAATAAGGCTGTGAAGGAAGGGAATCGGAAGAAATCGTATCTCCCGTACAGGCAGGAGCTGCTAGCCGGATTTTTCGCCAATGTAAACAGCCTCGGCAAGAGCTCCCCGCACTTCTAACGGACGTTTGTTGATTTGGCGAGAGTTATGTACCGCCTGCTCCTAGGGTGGTACGTTGATTACATCGTCAACGGACCTGTTATTTATTAATTATGTTATACCAATAAATAATTTTATGTTTCTCTAAGTAACAAATGGATAGATTAATTAATGGTGGAGAGTGCGTGCTGTTATTTGTGCACTGACTTCGAAATAAATTTGCCTCTTCCATTCCATGTCCTTTCCTAGTGCCTCCTGCAATTAAAGGTACCAACCAAAACAATAATTACAAACTTTGTTTTCTTCTTTTCATTTTTTTGCCTCGTTTTAATTTATTTCGTATAGTTGAAATAAATTACAAAACAAGGAAAGGGATCATGTTCATGTGCAGTGACTGAAGGAGGAAAAGGGGGCTTAAAATAAGAAATTGGTGGATGAGACACTCTATATATTCATGCAATCTTCAAAGCAACTTCACGAGTTTGAGAGTTTCAATGGCCGAGGCATTATTTTATTTGTCTTAGTTTCTCTAACTACACGCTGAGAGAACATTTATTTTATAACCTCATAACAATCTTAAATTCCATACAACGGTTGACAAATAAGACATGGCACTCGAAAAATATCAACCCGTTTTGAAAATTAAACCATAATTACTTTAAATTTTAAAAAAAAAAAAAAAAAAAGTACTCATTCTGAAAATTTCATAAATATCTATAATGAGAACCGAACTAAATAATATCCATATCGTAGCGAACCCAACTCAAATTATTTTATTGTATACGGTTATACCGAATCGAATAGTTGAACTATAGCCAAATAGCTGAACTATATATTATAAATATAAATTATTATTGATTGTTTAACATTTTTTTTTCTTGTTTTACCAAATAGATAAACGAAAAAAGGTACTGACTCTAAAGATTTTACAAATATCTGTCACGAGAATTGAACTAAATAATATTCACACCGTATTAAATTCAACCCAAATTATTTTATACGGTACTGAAACGAATAGTTGAACTATATATTTAAATATTTCCCGCGGTTTAGTTTTATGTCAATTTACGCCACAAATTATTTGAATATTTTATAATAATTAATAACATGTAGTAATACAACTAACTTTGCATAAATTTAATACTTTTAAAAGCATGTCTTTTGTTAATTTTTTACTTTTACTCTATAATATAGTTAAAATGATATTAAAATGTTTAAAAATTAAATTACTCTTGAAAATCTTATAAATATATATATATATATATATATATATATAGGTTGGTTCAAATAAAAACTAGTGCTGGTGTGAGAACCGTTTCTGATGCTATTTTTAATTGTGTATGATGCTATTTTTCATATTAGATGATGCTATCATTTTTACAAGTGTTACCAGAAATTGTGTTGCTATTTTTAATAAAATTCATCGTAGTTAAAAATAGCATCAAACACAATCAATCATAGCACTACGCACAAATAAAAATAGCTATTTTCACGGTTCTCACACTAAGACTTGGTTCTCATTTGAACCACATCATATATATATATATATATATATATATATATATNCACCTCTCTCTTATTTCATCTCTCTCTCACACACAATATCACACCGCACCAGCACCCACACACACAAACACCACACGCACACACACTTCTGCACACAGTACACACACATTAAAAAAAAAACCTGCACACGTTTTACACTCACACAGACACACACACATACACACACTATTCACACCCACGCACGACACGACATGGCTGAAACCCAACGACCACCGCCTACCATGCCAGCAGCCACCAACTACCGCCGTTGACATCCCGCTACCGGCCACCGTCCGTCGTTGCATCGAAAAAGAAACTTTGCACACACACACTCACATGCCCCCGATCCGGCACACACAGACACGCCGCCACTGCCACGACGTCCACCCAGCTCTGTCCGACCATCACCGGCTCCGCCCCACAGTGCCGCCGATCACCGCCATCCACTGCCGGATTCCGGCAGCCGCATGTATTCACATAAATTTCGTCTTAGTGCACAGCCACCGGAGAAGAACACCATCTCGCCACGCCGGTCGACCTCCATCTACCCCCGTCTCACTCGACACCCGTCTTCTCGCCGGAATCTGTGTGGAGAAGATGGTATTGGAGCCGAATCGGGTGATGTCTAGAACAATGTCGGCCATGGTGACGGTGAATTGGAGCCATGTTTGTTTGTCGGGAGAATATGGTGGTGGAGACGGCAAACTAGACCACAGCCGGCCATGGGAGTAGTGGGATTGGGGAGTTTTGTTGTGAATTTGATATTTTTCAAGGATCTAATTGCAATTTGAAAGTTTTTACTTATATTTTAATTTAGTCCATGGGCATAATTTATAATTTATAAAAACTTATAAAAAAATATAATTATTATATGGTTGTTTATACATATATATTAAAATATTAAATAAAAAATGATAAATAAATATAATACAAAATATTATAATAGTATTGCGCATATTGCACATTAATGAGTGACGGGATGCACTTTTGTGCCTATCAGATTGCGCTTTTGCGTAACATATGTACCGACCGAAATAGACTTATTCTTCGACGAAATAGACTTATTTTTCTTGTACAATTTATATACATTGGTTTGGTTATCATTTTTTACTTATAAGTTAAAATACTAAACTTAGTTTTTAAACTGTAAACTACAAATTATTTTGTATATTTAGGTTAATTCGGTTAACCGATGAATAAATCGATTATTTTTTACATAAAAAATATCATTTTTTATATATTGTCTTATACACATATATTATATTTTAACCAAAGAATAATAAAAAAAAAATACGAAAATACTAAAATGCTAATTGAAGAGGGTTTAAGATAAATCATTAAAATATAATTACATTTTGAGTGCACATTAGTGTTAAAGGGATTACACATTATTTATTTCCAGATTGCACTATAGAAACCGAAATCGAACAAACTAAATTTGTTGGTTCAAAATTTATCCACAAAAAACACAAATATCATAATGTACCAATATTTCACTTTATATATCAATATGTTGCACTTTATACAATAACATGTTGCACTTTATACAACAATATGTTGCACCTTATAACACAATATGTTGCACTTTATAAACGACACGCTGCACGTACAAAAAAAAAAATACAGGAATCGATCAAATAATATTAGTTGGTTAAATGTCGAATTTATTTTCTTATATAAACAAAATAACCAAACATGCCGAACTATATGAATAATATTACCAATTTTTTTTTATTTATGTTATTTATGAAAAATAATATTATTATTTTATCTATAATCTTTATTTATTGCGATTGCACATTAGGGTTATACGAATTGCACATTAATGTCTACCAAATTGCACAAAATCGAACGCGATCCAAGGAATACAAATTCGATACGAAATTTTATATTTTGGTTCCATTATTATTATTATTTTTCAAGTTATACATTTATTACTACCAATATTGTACCAATCATTTGTCTAAGTTATACATTTATTAGATTTTTAATAAATTATATATTTAAATATGAAATAATACATTCTTTTGCACTTCCTTCTTCAAAGGTCAAAGCTGACAAGTTTCTTAAAATAGTATTTTTTTTAAATTGCAAAATAGTCCGTTTACTATATCTAATTTTCAAAAAAAAAAAAATTCCACACATCAATGTCCAAAATCTCAAAAACATAACTCTGTGAGTCCCGGTCATCTTTCACGGCCATCCCTTCCGGCCCCCACGTTGGCCTTCGCCTCCGATCCCCGCTCGCCATCTCAGCACTCGCGACCAACGCCTGGGAAATACCTGGCCGACGGCCATCACCGTCTTGTCGACAAAACCGGTGGATACAATGTTCGGCGGCCATAAACATCTCACCTTCTAGACTAGTTGGTTCTGCCGGAGACTTCATGATGACGGGCGACAGTGGCGCAGCAGCGGAGCTGTGGATGCTCGACGACCAGATTGGGGAGGCGCGTTGGCCGGAATGGGGAGGCGCGGCGGCGGGGCCAGATTTCTGGAAAGGGTGCTTAGCCGTGACTGTCGGTTTTCTGGAGAGAGTTCGTCGCCTGACGGAATCCGGCGCCGGGCGGCGGATCTGGTGGTCCGGCCGTGTTCCCAGACGTGAGCGTGAAGGGTGTGTGTGTTTGTGTGTGTGTGTGTGTGTGTGTGTGTGTGTGT